GAATACTAGTGCCCAGTGTCTTTACCGTTTGCCAACAAAGCCTACAACCTAATAAACATTAACACTTGCTCACATTTACTTACAAGAAATCCCCTATACCTTTATCATAACTGTAGCATTGGAACAGTTCCTGATAGATGCGATCTCTCCTTGAAAGCAAAAAAAGACAACGTTTACCTACGTATCATGTTAGTAAAACAGGAACTGTACTTCGCTGTCCAGATGGATCGCATGCATTGAACAAGAAACTGTTGTAAAAAGTCGAATGTCTTCTATTTGAAGCAAAATCATGAACGTCAGAATACATACATATACTATCGTCTGTTGTCATGGTAACATGGACAACGAACCACATACGGGTTCACAAAAGTATATGTATATTCAGGAAAGCACAGGCAAAGAAGTAATTTCCATTTTCTCTGTTCTCCTTCTTCTAAAAAATATTGTCTGACATTTTGAAACTCCCAGACCATTTTGTTTTGAAATGAGAAAAACATGGTGTGTGTTGATTGGTTTTCTTATAACATAACGTGAGAGTATGACATTGCGTCATCTGACATTTTATTGGTATAAAAACTGAAATTAAAAAAGTGATACCGCCTCCAGACACAAGCTGTCAGAAAGTTGTGTGGCGTCGTGTGGTGTAGTGGTACATCACTGGACTATGAAACGGGGAGACCCGGGTTCGATTCCGGGTCGTACCCGAACAATTCCGAACATGCGCCCCGACGTTGTACCCTTGGGAAAGGTACTTTACACGAATTTCCTCACTTCACTCAGGTGAAAATGAGTACCTAGCTTTGGTTAGGGACGTCCCTCGGATAGGATGTTAAATGGAGGTCCCGTGTTTGGGAGAGCCATACACCCCACGCACGTTAAAGAACCCACCGCACTTATCGAAAAGAGTAGGGGACCTTCCCGGTGTGACTGGTTCAAACCTTACAGTCTTGTCTCGGGGTTGGCATCTTTGAAAAGGTGATAGTCACCTGTTATGTCAATCCTTCCACCAATGTGGTAAATCTTCATAAATAAATAAAAAACACAAATGCACTAAATGTTCAAACCAAAACCCTTACTTAAATACTATGTCTCTTTTCTAAAGCCAACTCTGTCATTTTCTTTATTTTGATCTGATCAACATAAAATACAATGTCTTTGGTAATTACAGCAACTGTAGAGCATTTATTTCTTTGTTGTTGATATTTCAATTCAACTACTAATCAAGTCCAGTTGTTATAATGAATTAGACAAGAATCGCATTTAATACGTTGATGAAGGTTATTCACCCAGCTAATACGATAAACTAAAAAAGCAGTTACTCATGCAACTGGATATGATTTTGGAAACGTCAGACGTTTCAGCTAGTATCCACTAGCTTTCAGTCACTAGGCAGTCACTGACGAAAGCTTGTGGATACTAGCTGAAACGTCTGACGTTTCTAAAATCGTATCTAGTTGCTTGAGTAACTGCTTTTTTGCGAATCGCATTTTTAAATGTCTATCAAAGATAGTGTCCATTCACATGCATATGGAGTAATGCCAGGCAAAAAGTTATTTCCCTTCTCATGTTTTACAAATTGTGTCTGACATTTAAACTCCCAGACCAATTCGTCTTGAAGTGAGAAAAACATGGTGTTTGTAGATTGGTTCTCTGATAACGTACGTGAGAGTATGACATGGCGTCAACTTACATTTTATTGGTATGAAAACTGAAATTAAAAAAAAAAAACTACCTCTGGGCTCAGACACAGATAAAACAGAGATCCCCCTTCCGTTTACTCAAAGCCAACCTAAGTACTATATGTCGTTTCTTGAAATCAATTCGATCATTTTCTCTATATTTAACTGATCAACATAAATGACAAAGACACTGGAAATTGCCGCAACTGTGCAAAATTTATTTTTTTTCTGTTTATTTTTCCATTCCACTTATTATCTGATAACTTAAAGAACAAAAGGCAAGTTGTTATAGTTAATTGGCCAAGACTTTCATTAAATGCCATCTAATGTACAACCACATGCATATTTGTGTAAACCAATGTCAACAATTTTGCATTGAAGTTTCTTAATATAATAAATCTTGATATGGGTCAAGTATTAGAAAAAAGTGATTAAACGTGAGCGTCAGAATAAATATTTATCGTTTTTGTTGATGCATATGGAGTAAAGCCAAAGCAAATAGTTATTTCTCTTCTTCTTCTAAAAAGTGTATCTGACATTTTAACTCCCAGACCAATCCGTCTTGAAGTGAGAAAAACATGGTGTTTGTAGATTGGTTCTCTGATAACGTAACGTGAGGGTATGACATGACGTCAACTGACATTTTATTGGTATGAAAACTGAAATTAAAAAAAAAAACTGCCTCTGGGCTCAGACACAGATAAAACGGAAATCTTCCTTTTCTACTAAAAGCCTACCTGAGTACTATTTGTCTTCTTTGAAATCAATTTGATCGATTTATCTATATTCAACTGATCAACATAAGGCCACACCGACTAAATTTTATGGATGACATCCGCGCGCGCATTGATTTTAGCCTGTCGCCCTCAAAAAAAAAAGACCTCCACTGAGGCTCTGGCCTGGCTCTAGGCCTGGGTAGTCCATGGAAGTCAGCGACAAAACGGAGCCGGGCACCCAGGCTATCGAATTCGAAGCTCCACGACTCAAGAACTCAGTACATAAGTACAGTACCGATTCATAAATTCCGCAAAAAGCCGGCACACGTATACGTCGCTAAGTACTGTCGCGAATTCATAATACCAGCTTTGTATTCCTGTGGTTAAGTAGCATTTTTATTTTTGGCCGGAATTTTTTTTATTCGCCCGCGCGCACTAGTTTAGCGTCTTCAGAGGATGTCATCCATAAAATTAAATCGGTGTGGCCTAAATGAAAAAGACACTGGAAATTGCCGCAACTATGTAATTTTTTTGTCTATTTTTCCATGCCATTCCATTTATTATCAGATAACGAAAGTCAAGTTGTTAACATAACGTGAGAGCATGGCATGACGTGAACTGACAATCTGTTCATTCTACTACGCCTACCTAACTAGTACTATATGTCTTTTCTGAAATCAATTCATTTTATCTATATTGAACTGATCAACATAAAAGACAAAGACACTAATAATTGCAGCAACTGCAATGTTTTGTTTATTTGTCCATTCCACTTATTATCAGATCTTAAACAACAAAGGTCAAGTTGTTATAGTGAATTGGACAAGACTTTCATTAAATGCCATCTATTGTGCAACCATAAGCATATTTGTATGAACCATTATTGATAAGACTTAATATGAAATTTATCAATATAATAACACTTATATAAACCAAGTATTAAAAAAAATTAACAGAAACTAACCTGCAGTTCTAGAACATTAATTACCAATTAAGAGGTTAATTATTCGGTTGTTTATTTTTCAACCAGGAAATACATATCGCCTAAGACCATGTTGATTTGATTATATGGATGACATCCGCGCGCGCATGAATTTTCGGCCGTTTCCAAAAAAGAACAAACTTTTCAACCATAGTACAAAACAGTTGAAAAATGAGCAAATATATACCGTAAGTTGCCTTCAAAATTTTGGAAAACGATACCAATGTCGTAGAATGCCAAAATCAAACAAAAAAGGAGAAAAAAATGTAGAAAATGAATTTGAAGAGTAGATTATTCGCCAAACCATTCTCTGTCTCAGTTGTACAACCTTCAAAACCACGTAGATTTCATAATAAAAGTAACTCTTTTTTTTGCAAAACTTTTTATTTTATTCGCACGCTCGCATCAGTTTTGGAGTTCCCAGAGGATGTCATCCATATAATCAAATCAACATGGCCTAATGGCGTTTTTCAATGATTCCTGGGGGAAACCTCAGTCCAAAATGCAGCAAAACTATCAAATATAGTCACGAAAATTACAAGTACAAAATCAAAGTACCTTAATTGATATGCATACTACGTTAAATCATACAACCAAGATAAGAGAAACAGTATTGTAACCTTGTTTTCATACAACGTAGAACCAAGGTAGAACATAATAGAATGAAATCAGGATTAAAATCAAGATTGGCTTTGCATGTCAATGGTTGTCAAGTACATAAAGTTGTTTGAAGGCTGATAGGGTTATGGCAATAAGAAAAAAAATTAACATTTTTGCTTTGAGACTGACATTTAATTGGCGTGACGTCTATCTGACAACTGATGTTAAGTTTAAGATAAATTGACGTAATAAAAAGTAATCACAATGCCCTTTAGGCCATGTTGATTTGATTATATGGATTACATCATCCGGGAGCCCCAAAACTGATGCGCGCCTGCGAATAAAAAAAAGATTTGCAAAAAGAAAGTTCTTTTCATTATGAAATCTACGTGGTCATGAGGGTTGAGCAAATGGCACAGAATATGGTTTGGCGAATAATCTAGTCTTCAAGTTCATTTCTTTACAATTTCGTCTTTTTTCGTTTGATTTTGGCATTCTACGTATAGTTTTTATCAATTTTTGTGGTAACTTATGGTATATTTTTGCTTATTTTGCAACTGTTTTGTACGATTTACAGTATGGTTGAAAACTTTTTTTTTTGGAAACGGCCGAAAATTCATGCGCGCGCGGATGTCATCCATATAATCAAATCAACATGGCCTTACCTACCGTTAATACTTTTCACACCATACCGTATTACTCCATATGATCCGATTTACATGCCCAAGTATTTATAGGTTAATCAAATTAATTATTGCCACCAATCAAGCGGTAATAATATAAGGGTGTCTTTAAAAAGTTACGCTCGACTTAACAAGATTTCGGTTTCTATGTCATTTTAGTAACACTAGATCGCTAATCTTAGTATCTTAGTACGCTTATTACCTTCTTCCAGATAGTTATGCTTGTGGTAACGCCTGCATGTGTGTATATTTGTATGTATGTATGTATGTATGTGTGTATTTATGTATGTGGTTTAGCGCGAAAACGAAAAAAAACTATAAGACGGAGTTACTTCTGGCTCGTCTAGTGCTATAGCCCCGTGGCCTCTTCCATAACTATTAAAATGTCATTACACAGTTATTGTTATAGAGTTTTTACTTAATCAGTGTTACAATGACGTATCCTGGTCCGTTATTTCCATCAATATCTTTGGGATAACAGACGCCAGCGCTGACACTGTCAATGCCTGAGTTGAATGAACCTCCTCCCCCTGCACATCCCCCCCTACGGGCCTCCCCTCTTGCCCCGCCGGAATATCCTCCCCCTCCCCCTCCTCCTCCTGCTAGCTTCCCTTCTGCTGATTTACCATACCCACCCCCTCCGCCACCAAAACCACCATATGCGTCGGCACCATAAGAGCCCCTCCCACCTTCACCTCCGTTAAAAAACGCCTTCCCCCCTTCACCTCCATCCTCGCCGCCGTCTCTACCGCCAAATTTATTTTTACCACTCGCCCCGTCTGTCAGCAGACCTCCCCCACCCCCTCCTACACTACCTGACCCCCATTCAACAGCCCCGTCCCCATCCTCCCCTCCTTCGTTCCAGTTAACGTTCCAAGATCTAGTGCTAGAATTTCCCGCTGTTTTCGTATTACCGTCACTAAATATGCTGTGATAAGACCTCCCGGTCCCCCCGCCCCCGCCGCCCGCGATGATGAGGGGAGTGTTGTCGTCCCGGGTGACAAACGTCCCTCCACCCCCGCCTGCACCTGAGTTATAACCCCGATTCTCTGCACCCTCCTGTCCGACAAGGATCTTCAGTACCTCGCCTGACGATAAGAACATACAAAAAACTGGTGAGAAGAGAAAGGAGCATTCTCAAATCTATGCTATTTATCCTCTATTTATTCATAAATGCAGTTTGATCCCGAATAATGCTATGTAATGCACATAACACTATAAATGGGGTGCTAGTGTCATGGAAATGAACAGAAACCTAAGTGGGTGTCACTGGTGTCAGACAGATGGAAAATGTTCAGACTATGCATGATGTACAAATTGACTAATAAACTGGTGGACGTACCAACTACCATGTGCCTAATGCAAGCTCAGAAAAGAACAAGAAATTGTCATGCATGCCTCAAGTACCAGAGTTATTAACCAAGGATTGATGTGTTCAAAACCTCATTCTTTCCTAGAACTATCGCAGAGTGAAACTCACTGTCACCAAGTAAAGTAGGGACATTAGCATTTGACAGCTTTAAACAATGTTTAGAGTTAGATGTTAAGAGGTTAGGGTTAACAATTTGTTAGGTGTAATGTAGCCAGCTACCGCTGCACCGCATGCCTGCGAACCTTGTGTGCTACGCCGAAGGGCGGTGATGCCGGCTATACAGATACGGATAAATAAGGGATATATTCCTCATTTTAAGATAAACAAAAGCAGCTAGTCGCAGTCGTTGTCTTTGATATCTTTCTGTGAGTTCAAAATTACTACGCACCTTTATTAAGTTGAAAAGTCCCTTTCATAACAGCACCTCTTCCACGGCATTCTGGTGATGTGTTCCGATCGGTCCCTGCAGCGGCACCTGTCAGAACAAAATGTCCATTGCAAATTTGACTTCTCTTGTATCTAATCAAAGGGAATTATTAAGAGAATTTTTGTGAGAAAAAAAAAAACAAGCATCATAATTCAGATTCTATGAATATTATTACCTGCTGCTTCTATCTGGTAAGTTCCCGTGTGTTTGACTTTGAAGTGTTGGATCCCGTTGTTGAGTGTCACCAGACCGTCATGGTCCTGTCCACTGTAGTGTTCTCCCAGTTTAGTCGGGCCGAGACGGCCCTCTGTTCCCAATGTGGTGAAGGTCGCCTTGAATCCTTACAGAGAAAAGCACATTTGATTTGATTTATTCAAATTGTAACAATACAATACACGTGGGTCAGGACAACTGTTGCTGGTGTTGTGTCCCAGACATAGGAACAAATACAGGACAGGGCAGGACATTCACTCATAAGTCTAAGAAAGAAGGCGGGACAGTACATAGAGTCTTTAATCTGGTAATTGACCGACAGTAAGCCCATGTACGCTCTACAGCAATGGTATCTCGCTCTATTATTAAGAACCATTGCACAAATTGAGATGTTAGTTTTAATAAGGCTATGTTGATTTGATAATATGGATAACAACCTCTGCGAAGCCCAAAACTGATGCGAGGGGAAAAAAATGTTTGGCAAGCAAAAAAAGGTTCCTCTAACATGAAATCTACGTGGTCATAAAGGCTAAACGAATGACTGAACACACACAGTATGGTATGACAAATAATAATTGTTTTTGTTTCGTCACGTTTTGTTCTTTTCCTGAATTAATTTCAGCATTCTATGACATTAGTATCGTTTTCTAATACTTTTGTTTGCAACATACAATATATATTCGCTAATGTTTTACAATTTACAGTAAGGCCACACCTATTCAATTTGTTGGGTCTCGGATTTTTGCAGAAAAAATATGAAGCGAAAGGGTGAAAAAAAAAATAAATAAAAACAGGTCTAGGCACCCTATTATAGGCTTAAATGCTATGAAATGAGCCATGAAGTCAACACAAAAGGCTGGGTTAAAATTTAAACATTGAATTTTGAACTTTTAATCATACCACTGCAATGATAGATGGGAAAACTGTAACAACTAGGAAGAAAAGGACTTTCCTCAACTGTTCGGGGCAAAACATAAGCATTTTTTAATTGATTCAGGACCAGAATCAATTTGTTTTGTTTTTTTTTTGCAAATCAGAAAAAAACGAAGAGGCGAATCCGAGAACCAACAAATTAAATTGGTGTGGCCTAAGGTCGAAAACTTATTTTTTTCATATGGGCGAAAATCCATGCCCTAGCGGATGTCATCCATATAATCAAATCAACATGGCTTAACTGTGAAAGAGAGATGCTCTACAGGGGTACTATCCTATGAATGAATACAGTATTCAATTGTAACCTTCATTTTAAAATTACCTTCTGTGATGTCACCGACCAATAAGACGTCATTGTCTACCTTCACGGCTACATCCGGATCAAACCGGACCCAGGGCTCCCCTGCAGGTGCCCGGATGTCTGTAGGAGACAGCTGCAGTAGGCTCTGCAGACGGGACTGAACTTCAGTCTTCACACTGACGACCTGCAGGTCAGTACCATGAGCCATGATGCTGCGGCCGAATTCTCTGGTGCTGAATAAACTGACAATCGTAGTTTCTAAGGTATCCTGAACCGCGCAGAACTTTTCCTCCGTCTTCTTTTCAATAACCTGCACTTTCTGCAACAGTTCTTTTTCTTCCGCGTCCACCCGATCCAACATGCGCTTCAGGCGATTACGGGTTTGCTCTGCCGCTTCATTTATCTTGTCTTGAACCTTTGACACGGTGTCCTTCAGGAGGGACTTCTTATCCAGAATTTCCTGTTGCTTTTTATTAAGCTCAGCCACCTTCTTGTCGGAATTTTGAAGTGCGGTGGCCAACTCTTCTTTGATGGCAGCCGACGCTTCAGAAAGATGGGTGTAGGAGTGACCCTTGTGCTCCATTATAATACAGTCTCTACATACAGCCTCTCCGCAGGTCTGGCAGAAGAACTTTAGCGACTCGTCCTCGTGAAGCCTGCAGGGCTGGGTGCGAAGCTTGGCTGCCTTCACAACTGCCCCAGACCGGAAATCCTCCATACCGACCAACTGGTGCCCTTTTAGCGACTTCATGCGGCGGTGTGCGGAATTGCACTCCTCACAGATAAAGTCCCCACACTCCACACAGTACGACTTGGCCTCTCCCTTTGACTCACACGCACCGCACGCCACATTACTACTGCTACACCCCTCTGTCTCCATTACCGTCTTGTGTAGTTTGACTGTATCGTTAAGACTCTCGACGAAGAAGTTGTCCTTCAGCCCTGCGACTCCAGAACCCGAAAGTTGGGTCTTGTTCCGACATGTTGGACACTCGAGCTGGTGTTGTTCCTCCTGTCGTTTGAGTAACAGCTCCAGGCACTCCTGGCAGAACGTGTGGAGACAGGAAAGCACCTTGGGCCGACGGCAGGGCTGGAGGCAGATCTGGCACCCTAAAAAGTCGTCCGAAATTTGACTAAGGGAGGGTCCGGCCGCCATGCTAACTTGTGTGAACACGCAGCAGAAGGACGGTTAAGGCGGCATGTAACGAGTCACAAATATGCTAATGATGCTATGCAAATACAGATAGCTATAGTCACACACTAAGCACTTACTAATAGGCAGGCATGTAGGTACTTTGGAAGACTCAGTGAACCCCAATTTCTGGGCAGGTGGTTTCCAGCATATGAATTGATCCTCTCTGGTGTCTTAAGCGTTATACAGTAAAATGGTAAGGCCTCGCCATTGTCTTAGAAACGGCCTGGGTTTGATTACTTGCTAGTACACGGCGCTCCCTATACCAGGTGTTGACGGAGTTTGTTTGTTTCATTGTGTAAACGTCACCATGGAATGATTCCATGACGTCACATGTGACCTTGGCGATACCAAATTTCGTGGGGGTGCAATGAACCAAATTCAATCATTGAAAATGCTGAATCATCCCAGGTAGTTCGCCAAAAGGTTATGCTTTTCGTAGAGTTTGTATGTGTGCGTATGTGTGTGTATGTTTGTGTGTTTGAGTGTGTGTGTCTGTGTGTGTGTTTGTGTGTTTGAGTCTCTGTGTGTGACTTTGTGTGTACGTTTGTGTGGTTTAGCACGATAACTAAAGAAACTTTGAATGGGTTGTCATGAAACTGGTTGGTGCCGTATTTGCCTAGTCACAAGTATGCAAATGCGTTACACAGTCACATGTATGGAAATATCTTTATGCACAACAGGTTATCGCACGCAATGTAGTAGTGTTTCACATTTATTCCTTGATAATGAACTACATGAACGACCTTAACATTCTTTTTTTCTTCGCTTCCTTACTTAAAATGTCAAAAGTGAGGTGCTAATTACACAAGTACAAACCTCTAAGTACTGGCACTCGAGTGCAGCATTATAGGTTTAAATAATCATTAAAGTCATGTTAACCCATCATTATCATTCTTATGTATTCGTTTCTAAAAAGCGGCCTGTCACACTGACAATATTGGCCTCCCTTACATTAGAAAAATTGCACAAGTTCATTTCAAATAAAATGATGATAACATAATAAGATACTACAATCTTTCAAAAATCATGTTTCTCATCTATTTCATTCAGTATTAGATTCATACATATTAGTATATACAAATAAAGTACTATTATGCCTGTTACTAATTAACAATGTTTCATGAAAAATAAATGATGAAAGCAAAACGCTTGAACTTTGAAATGATGACAACAATGTAATAACATATGGCAGTAAGTACCAACATCAGCAGGCGAATTTCATAACTTAAATTGCCCTAATGGATACCTTCACACACCCTACACACTGTTCGGTAGTCCACCATGAGGTTATGGCCGTGATATGACAGCTGGCACAATTCACCCAATATCTGCTTGGAAAACCCCTATTACCGCACACAAATAAAGGCAAACGAAATGAATGGCCTGTTCCACCAGTCCATCGAAATAGGGGTGTTTAATGGCACATGAAAGCTGCTACGGTATTAGAAAAAAATCCATCGCAACTGTTCCGTAATTCCCAGTACAAGATATTTGCTCTCTTACCATTACAGAACATTACAAAACACAAAAAGGCTTATTCTGTCGTTAAATTTAAAACAAGTTTTCTATTAGTATTTTAAATTATAGTAGTAAAAACATTTCCAGATTGTTTCTCTCCAGATCCACTTACTTACAATCGGTCATCGGTCAGAAAACAACGCAAAATGTCATCAATATTTAAGATTTTAATGTGCAAGTGAGGATTTTTTATATGACCAATTAGAATCATTGTAATTCGTTTGTTGGTAAATGTAGTATTATTTAGCGATGGAATACATTTGCCAGAGGAGCTTGGCAGATGAATTTGAACTTTCTCCTACAGTAAGTATCGCTCCACATAGGAATGGCTGACTGAGAATCACATGAACTGTACTGCACACAAAGTTTTACAGTATGGAGAATCCTCCGGTTATTGGGCTCTCCTGGACCCCATCCCTAAACAAAAAGAAATAGTTGCGTCAAAAAAGCAATATGCATTTGTCGATGAAGGTTAGACATCCAGGTAATACACTACGCCAAAAAGCAGTTACTCAAGCAATTGGATATGATTTTGAAAACGTCAGACGT